ACAGATGCTTGAAACCGTTCTGCGTGCGTGTTAATATAACAGCATCATCAGCATAAAGCAATAAAGGAATAACATGTGACCCAAGTTTAGGGGAATGAAGCCACACTAATGTTTACAGCTAGTTTGATTAGTTAGAAACTTGTAATACTTGCAAAAGCTCAGGTGCTACTGAACCAGAATTGATATGTCAGTAGCCTGCTTGGCGGGAGCCTTTCCCTATCACTATATAGCTCAGACATCAACTGCGGTGCTAAATGAGGTCGTAAACTGGCCTATATAGTCAGTCCCATTAAGTTTTTTCCAATTTTTAGGTGAAATGTGGACTTCTACTTTGTTTTTACAAACCTCATTTTTGGAGCATCTTTCTCTTTCACTATATGATTCCAAAAAATTAAAAACCATGGAGAATGAAAGTGATGCTATCACGGTGCTTCACAGCCAATCATACCTGGCAACTTGAGGATGCTATTGAAGGCAAATGAAGCTATCACACTGTCCTCATTCTGAGGCATGGGGAGGAATGTGCTCCACTGCCAAGCCCACACTTCCTGGCTTGCCACACTACTGGCAGTTTCAGAGTTGCATGGCAAGATTTTCATCCTGATCCACCTCTAGTCATGTGAAGTTCTACATGACTAGTGGCAGCAAGATGCCCTTCCCACTAAGTAACCTAAAGCAGACAGGTAACATCCAGGTTCATATCTAACTACAGATTTCATCCATTATTATAAATGGCATTTGTTTCCAGATGAGGACCCCCATCACCCCCAATCTGATACAAGTTAGTCAACCACATGCTGGATCTAGGTGAGAGAGCCATCAACCAAACTGACTTAGTAACACACTCCACTTTCTTTCCCATACCTACCTCCTTGCAAATGTCTCCTCTTTTTTGCAGAGACCTAGATTCCCTTTGCTTCAAGAGAAAGCACAAACTTATAGCTACTGTTCTGGGTCCTGAAAAAAAGAGTTGCTGCAAATTGGCATTCCTCCCCAAATGAGGCTTTTTCAGTTCAATTGATCCTTGTCTCTACAGTGTTGTATACTAATAACACAAGCACACCTAAGTACAAAAGAACAGCTACCAGGCTCATCCCATCTCCTCTATCTAAGCACAATGTTGTATCATTAAGAAACTTACTTTTTGGAAACAAACTTTTAAAAATAATTTCATCTTTAAAATCTACACTCAGTATAGTGGAAGACTGTTTTACCTCCAGGTAGTTTAAGCTAAAAAACAACAACACCACATTAGAACTATCAGAAAGTCAATACAAACACTCCTGTCTTGTCTTCATTATCCATAAATTATAACCTTGTAATTTAGCACTGACTGGGTCAGTTGTGTCCAATTACATTTACATCCAAGAAACTAAGCACATCACCCACAATGAAGGGACAAAGCCATATGCATTGCAGCCAAAACTTTCTGTACTATGAAAACTGCACTATATAACTCACATTCTACCTTCTGGCCTTAAAAAGGCATTATGTCTTTTACATTAGAAAACACCCCCTTAAACTTGAATTTTTATTATTAGGACTTTGGCCCCAACACATCGATCAACATCACTACAGAGACACACTAGAAATTATGCTATATGCCGCAAGGCTTTCAATAGCGTCATATTGGAAAGACCCCAACCCCCCCACTGACCAAGTCTGGTTTAGGGAATTATGGGATCAATTCCTGATGGAAAGCATCACCGACAAACATAACTGTAATGCCCGAAACCCATTGGTATCTAAATTCACTGCGAAATGGTTCCCAGTACTGTCTTTTCTAGAGTCAGAAGAATTCATCTCTTCCCAATGGAAGAACTATATCAAATGGATTTAATTAAAACAAAACATCCTTTTGTTCTTTATATTTGCATTTAAATTATTTAGACAAGCGTTTTACCAATCACCTTATACTTTAGCATTATCTAATTTTAGAACCCAGTTGTTAATCTACAACCATAAATTTTAGCTCATACATCTTTTATCTCTTATGATATGTATAGGGATACTCTCAGGAAATCAATTGTTATTTTTACGTTTTTTGCCAATTGTACACAGTTTGTATATCATAACGTTTTTTGAAACAACATAGTTTTGTATAATTGTTAACGTGTTTTACCTTACTCTCTATCTCAGGGGTACAATATATTTACCCCTTGCATGTGTAACCAATGTTGCATCCCAACTTGTCATTATTATCTCATTATCCTTCTTAATAAAAAATTGTTATTAAAAAAAATAGGGGGGCCAAAAGGAAACTTAACACTGGGAGTTTGTTATCGCCCACCAGATCAAAAGATAGAGGAGGATTATAAAATGATGAATGAATTAAAGATAGCAGCTAGACAAAAAAGAAAGAAAGAAAGAAAACAAAACAGGAAGAGAGCACCTGAAAACTACACTATGGAGGCTATACTTGTGGCTCTGCCCTTGCTGTAAGAAAATCAACTGGCTGGGTTAACTCCACCACAGCACAGGAAACAAGAAAAATCGGCCATGGCAGCAGCAATGGGAAGGGGGAGGAGGGAGTGGATGGTCAAGTGGAGCAGGGGATGGATACCCAACCTCTGAACCAGTGTTCCCTGTAAGCTGCGCTGGGCTGTGCCAGTGCAGCAATTTTGGGGGCCCAGCACAGGGATTTTTAGCCCAGCACACAGGCCCGAGGAGTGGGTGGCCCTGTCCTCCCAGTCCCACTCCCAACCATCAACTTGCCAGGCAAAGGTGGCTGACTCACTGGCTGTTCTCTGGCTGGAGATCTGCTGCCTGGCTGCAGGGCATCCTCTATAAAGGGAGGTGCTTGAAGGGCCCAGCCCTACTTTCGATTTCAACTAAGACTCCAGGAAGAGCCCTCCTGCTGTGCCAGCTGGCTAGTAGTGGGAGTCCGGGACTTAGTGCCACCCAAGAAGATCTGTTCGTCTGCCCCACGGGTCATCTCAGGTAAGTCTCTCCCTTTCTGGGCTCCATATGTGATGGGATGGCTGGTTTTTGCTTCCTGTGGGCCGAGGATGGTGGCAGGGGAGCAACTAGGGTAGCAAAAAGCCATAATTGTGTTTGTTTTGTTTTAACTGGGGCTCCACGTGCGCCCGAGTGCCTGGGTTTTGCCTCCCGTGAGACCAGCATGCTGGTAGGAGAGCCAGAGGGGCACGAAAGCCCATTGCGTTTGTTTGTTTGGGGGGGTGGAAGGAGCTGGCCTCCACGTGTGCCCGGTGCCTGAGTTTTGCTTCCCCTGAGATCAGCATGCCGGTAGGAGAACTGGCGGGGCACGAAAGCCCATTGTGTTCATTTGTTTGGGGGGGGGTGAAAGGAGCTAGCCTCCACGTGTGCCCAAGTGCCTGAGTTTTGCTTCCCCTGAGATCAGCATGTCAGTAGGAGAGCTGGCGGGGTGCAGAAGCCCATTGCATTTCTTTGTTTGGGTGGTGGTGGAAGGAGCTGGCCTCCACGTGTGCCAAAGTGCCTCAGTTTTGCTTCCCCTGAAATCAGCATGCCGGTAGGAGCGCCAGAGGGGCACAAAAGCCCATTGCATTTGTTTGTTTGGGGGTGGTGGAAGGAGCTGGCCTTTACATGTGCCCAAGTGCCTGTGTTTTACTTCCCCTGAGATCAGCATGCTGGCAGGAAAGCTGGCGAGGCATGAAAGCCCATTGTGTTTGTTTGTTTGGGGGGTGGTGGAAGGAGCTGGCCTCCACGTGTGCCCAAGTGCCTGAGTTTTGCTTCCCCTGAGATCAGCATGCTGGTAGGAGAGCCCACTGCGTGCGTTTGTTTGTTGGTGGAGGGGTTTTGAAGGAACGGGCCTTTAATGTGCTCTCCCCCCTGCAAATTGGCTAGATACAGATCACCTGGAGAATTTAATGAGAATCAAACAGCACATGTCTACTGGGAATAATATTAATACTGACAATGTTTTCAAATTCTGGAAAACCGAGAAAGGAAGAAGAGAGAAGTCCAATTAAAACATTTGCTGTAATGAGACTTGATACTGTTTTCAATTAGAATGTTTAAATTATTCTTGAAATGTAGTTTAAAAATTCATTCTGAGATTCTCACAAGGTTATGGTTACATTTTATGTTTGTATGTTTTGTATGCTCGTAAACTGAAATTTAAAAAAAATTAAAATGTATGCTGGCTCACAACTTTTTCGATTTGGCTCACAAAGAAAACTTTTTGCACACAGAGCTTCAGAGCTTAGAGGGAACATTGCTCTGAACACTTACTTAACAAGATTAAACTATCACCCACTCACAGATGTGATGTAAAGTCACCTGGTAGTAATACTCACAATTTATTTTCATGGACGGTCCTCTGCATCTGGAATGTCACACTGTGAAGGGAGAAACTACATAGATAATCTCCAACTAAAATGACTCTTCCATTTAACTAAGTATTTGACTGCTCACTTCTGGCAAGCTTTAGCACGTTTCTTCAGCAAGCAAACTCGGGTTAATTCAGTCCTGCCATTCCCAGACAGAAGTTATCATGAGGACAAAAGCACTAGCAGGAAAGGCAGGCGGGGGGGGGGGAGAGAATGCTGCAGAACACAGGTATTCTCACAGTCTCCCAGAGACAATCAAGGCCAGAAAAACCCAATCAAGCATTATCTTACATTGCATACTGCAATTTCTTCTACTGTTTCATGACCCTTTAAAGTTGTTGTTATGATCTGTGTCTCACTTAGAAATTATTTAAGAGGACTTAAAACTAGGAAACATGTCTGTACTGTGTCCTATTCCCCTTGACAGGAGATTAACAACTCAGGGGGAGAAACAAAAACTTGCTTGTTAGAGGGCACAAACATGACAAGTTGTTCTGCTCCACAGCTCAGATGCTGAGGTAACATCAAATGTAAGGCAATGGATGGAAACACATGAACTATAGCTTCAGGCTGAAGTAATATCAGGTGCATCTCTACACCCTCCGGGCTCAACTCCTACACTTTTAAGTCCCTCCCATTGAAACAGCCTCCTTTAGTTTCACTTAGCAATCAAACAGCAAACAGGTACTTCTCTCTCAACACTGACAGCAACAGTTTAACAGCCTTGAACACCTTGGACTTCAGCTGCCAGTCTCACAGGTACGTGGACTTTAAAAACCAGCAACTTTTTAAAAAAGAGTTAAAAGTAAAAGCAATCAGTGGAGCAAATGTATGCCAATTAGGCTTATTTACTGGGCTTCTCTTGCACTTTGCTTTCCTTGTAAGAGATGTAACTCCTGTTACCAGAAATTTAACAAGAGATAAAGAAAAATAAATCATTCTTTTCATCTGTACAAAGAGTTTTGGGTAATTTCAGTTCACTTGTTCACTTTTTAAAATACTATTACTGGTACTTTCCAGGTTAAAACTCTATTAAGAACCTATGATTTTATTTTTAATGTAAGTCTTTGTATGTTAGCTTCCTTATTTAACTTTTTATTATTTGTTCTACTTATGTAGCTCTCCTTAAAGATTGATATAAATAAGATGCTAAAAACTTTAAAGGCATTCTAACCTTTACACAAACTGGGGAGAGTATTACTTCAATTATTATATTTATCAAAATTATGTTTTTCAGCTGATGAAAATGTCTTTATTTTATTTATGGGCGAGGGGAAAAATAAAACCTTCAATACTAATTTACACTTCCATAAGAAAAGATTAGGCTAACAATTATTCAAAATTATTTCAAGATATCTTGAACAAAAATTTCATTGTTAAAACTTTTGCAAGGAGGCAAACATTTGCTTACTAGCTATTTGCGAACCTTAATCTCTCTTTCTGCCATCTGTTCTAAATGCCTATATTTATCCTTTTGTTCATTTCATTCCTCTGTATTTTGTATAAAATCAAAATTATAAGGATTAAAAGTTCAGTAGGGAGGAGGATTAATCACTGGAAGATCTAAACTGGAATAGAACTCACAAGTCTTGTTCTTGAAAAATGCTGGATAGGTGACAATGGCATGATTCTGAGTTATGCAATAATGCCACATCACAATATTTTAATCACAGCTTGCCCTTCAAAATATGCTCCACCCCAGTGAGGACTCCCTGACAGCCAGATCAATATCACCAAAAAGAATGCTGCAACTGCAACTGAGTGTGTGCGTATTAATATGCTTGTAGAAATGGTTGCATAGACATTCATAGCGATGACCTATTAAGCAAAATAATTATACCACTGTCTGCAGTTGAAATTATTTTGAAACTGCCCCTTTAAATTTAATAAAGGCCACTGCTTAGCAAACCAGTGCAACAATACTCCCCACAACAACAAATACAGAAGTTTCCCCTATTTCTGTCTTTAAGATAAAAAAGAAAAATGGTTGATATATGAAACTCCATACTTTCATGAAGAAGTGTCAATCTATTAAGTAGAACCACCCTTAGCATAACTCAAATGAGTAATAATAGGGGGATGGGGAGGAATGTCAGAAAAATCTGTTTGTTCCTGTTTATCTAAAATTCATTCTATATCATGCTAAGTTAGCTCATGCTGATTTTCCTTACAAAAATACGCAATGAGCATTTTACTGTAGAAGCTCTCATACACCATTCAAATAAATTACTTATATTAAAGCTAGAAGCACAGTTACAACAAAAGCCTGATCCTATGTATGCTTACTCAACAACAAATACAATTGTGCTTATGACAAAGTAAATGTGCATAGGATTACAGCTGAATAGTTACTTTGTATGCAATGCTTGCCTTTTGTTATTTGAAAACTTAGCAGTGAAACTAATAATTACAAAAGGGTTTGATTATTGAGCATTCTGCTAGTTGGAAAAGATCTCTCTCAATCATATCTTGGAAACCGAGCTATAAGGAAGCGAACCCTTCCTCAAAAAATTAACACAAGTCTGAGTAAGCCTGAGTAAGGCATAGAAATTACAGTTTTACTTTTGATACATACTTAAAGTTAATAAATATGCACCTGAAACACACACATGGCTCAGTAATCATTGTTCCTCAAGAGGGAATTGTGACATCCTGCAGTGCACATTTTAATTTTTTAAAAATGTGAATCTATCTCCACATACTAAAACAATACAACACCCAGCACATCAGCAGAACAAATGAAAATGTATATTAAATAATGAATAAATACTCCTGTATTTTTTGTGCGAATACAAATTCAAACTGTTGGTGAACACAGCCAGAACTGGATAAACCAAAGGACAGTTTGTTGTGACAACAGTAACTTTGAGCATTATTTGCATTCAGTCTTACAAGCCAGTACAAAGGTATAATAGGTAAAAAGTGAACTTACCAATATTTACAAGTCTTCCATTTTGGTTATACACCATTACCCACAAACTTAACCTGTAACTATTTGAGAATTTTAATGATGTTGCCTAAATTAATGTGTGTATTATATGTGTGCAGTAAAATCCCTCCCAAAATTGACAAACTAAGAAACTAAATTGGTTTTAAATATATATTCCAAACTACAATTCTATTTTAAATAATTTCTATGGCTGGGACACAAGGAACCGCACAACTAAGGGCCACTGGGCTTTTCTCAATCAACCTCCTCATGTGCTACTTTGCAGACTGCTTTTTAAACTAAGAGGACTTGCAAAAACAGGTTCAAGTGTATGCTAAAATGTGGGGGGGGGGAGTAAAAATCCCACTGAGGGTTATTTGGGGCAAGCCTGCATCAGAACCCACCAGAATTAGCCTCTTGATGCTTCACAGAAAACACTAAACCAAACTACTATATACCTTGATGCTCTAAGCAAAATCTCAACTGCTTACAGTTATTTGCAAAAGAATACCCCAGTTAGTTTGTTGTAACATATAAAGATTACCAAGTTAACTGCTCTATGAGTGTTCATAGGATAAAACCTACATTATAGGGGTTATGAAGTATATTTGAAAAAGTAGGGACACCTAAGAACGGTCATGCTACAAATAAATACATTCATATTTAAGTGCCCTATATCTCTATTATTTTATCACTTACAGTCCTATCAGGCTAAATATGCTAACATTCACATTTTGAACAGCAATTTTTGATGAACATTTTGTTTGGTTTCTAACACACACACATATCCCTTCAAGACTGGTAATGTGACAAGTAGTATTACTGTAGTTTCGGGTAACTCAGATACAGTATGTGGTTTTGCAATAGTCATCATTTTGATAATGGTGCTTACAGTTCATGATGAAATCATCACTTTTTAGATCTCTGCCATAACACATCCTGCAAAATCATGAGAACATGACTCTGAGAGATTCTCACGCCTTCAGAATCAGGGAACATAATGGAACAAGTCAATACAAGCCCATCTGACTTATCTGCTGAGAAAAATCACCAAACCTGTATTTAAAAGTATCCACTTGTTTCATTTCTTTAAGAGAAAGCAAGTGGATCATATGGCCCTATAAAATCAATGATTTTTTTTAAAACTCAGATTTACATCTAATGTTGCAGTCTGCTAAGAACACATGCTATAACTAACTAGACAACAAAAAGTTGTGTAGTTAGTTATAAACCATTTCTTATAGCTATTTACCTTTATAGCTAAATTTATTAATCTAGGCAAAATGAGAAATTGGGGGTAGGGTGTGCTACTTTAAGCACTCAAATCCTGGATCATTATGGGGTGTTAAAAGTCATTCACACAGGTTGGTATTAAATATTTGCTTAGGCGGCTTTAAAAGCTTGTTTGCTCTCTAGTGGAGCTGGGTCAGCTCTCCAGGATGGAGTCAATCCCACTCCACCCTACTTCTCCCCAGCAAGGAATCTCTTCCTCTTTCCCCAGCTGGCTGGACCGGATTGCCCTCAAGCCTCTGCTGTTGCCAGGTCCTGCCTCTCTCCTCCTTGTCATCCACCTACAGTTCCCTCTCCCTCTGCTTTCATCTTTTCCCAGTCACATCGTTAGTGGCTGTTCCTCCACTGTTGTTTAGTCAAGCTCTCTTTAATTAAGTCAACCGGCACAGCAGGTAATAGGCACCCCTGAACTTCAGGTCAGTTAATTAGGCATGTATCTCCAGACATAGGGGGCTTTCCCCCCTTAAGGCAGTCATATTTGCAAGATATGAAATTCTTCTGTATTAGCTTCACCTTCCACATGCCTGGAATCTGTTATTTTAAAAGGTGAGTAGTGAGATGACCAAATTTGTAGATGCCACCAAAGTATTCAGGAAGGTGAAACCTAAAGCAGGTTGCAAAGAATTCTATAGGAAGTGGAAGTAAATGAACAACAAAATGGCGTTAGATTCTTTGTTCTAGAGTGCACTTTGCCCTAATGTTGAATCTTAACTTCAGAGGTGTTATGGGGTTTGAATTGGCTGTGACTAAATCACAGAAGAGATCTTGGGTTCACTAAAAATATGAACAAAATGCAGAAGCTTAAAAAAAAAGCAATTCCATAACAAAAAGATTAGGAAAGAGATGGAAAATAACACTATAAAACACAGACATGTCTTATATATTTAATGCAGCTGTATTTTATTTATTTTTATTTAGAGGAGCTATGGATATATTTCTATTTTTAAAAAAGAACTAAGTTAACAACAGAAATAGACAGCTTAAATAATAAATACAACATCAACTAATTAATCAAACCAACATCAGTATAAAGAGCACAATACCATACACCTCAGGATTATGTACTAAAAAATAATTCAAAAGCCTTCCAAAGCAAATGTTTTTAAGTTGCACCCTAAGGCCTGCAAGCTGTACCTCCAGGGCAGCAAATGAAAAGCTCTTTCCTGCCCATCACACCGTGCAGGTTTCCACAGCATCTTCAGAACAAGAAGAGGTCCACTGCTGTGGAAACGTGCACAGTTTTCAAAGCACATTAGTCCCATTAATTCCATGTAGACCAAACAGCCCAGAAGTCCAAGGCAGATAAAAAGGCAGTCCGATAAAGTGCTTTTAAAGAGCTAACATAGAAGAGCTGATAGGTGGGCTGTTCTTCCGTCGCCATCTTTCTGACATTCCACTTCGGCAGCACATATACAAAAATTGGAACAGTTTCCAAAGCAGTTTCAAAGGCAATTCCCCATCCACAGAAAGCTAGAGTAATCCAATCTAGAAGTTAACAAGTCATGAGCAACAGTGGCCAAATTCACTTTCTCCAAAACAACTGCATCCTGAGCAGATAAAAAGGCACTTCTGCCATCTGCTTATTCTGGCACAATTATGGGTCTAGGAATGCTGCCAAACAGTAAATACTGCAACTCCGCAAATACGTATGAATTTTGTGTACCGTTTTAACAATTCCATCTCCAAAATGATAGAGTTGGAAAAGGTACAGAAGAAACTAATAGTCAGGAGTTAGGACACCACTCCTATGTGGAAAGATTAAAGCATCTGGATGACAAAGGAGGAGGCAGGACAAAGGATTATATCATTACGAATTCTGTAGACAGAATGGATAGAGAGAACTGCCACCCAATGAGCATGATCAACAGCATGTTCAGGAACAACAGAAATAACAGCATTGTTAACTTCTGGAATTCAATGCACAAGTTAAGATGGTATTTTAAAGGTGTTAGAAAAAATCAGGGAAAGTAGTTCTAATAGGTATTTATGGGCAAATGGAACTTTCAAATTCAGAAGCAGTATATCTCTAAATATCAGATTCACTTTCCTGCTTGTAGACTTCCTTGAGGCATCTACCCAGCCACTACTGGAAACAGGATACTGGACTGTCAATCTAATCCAGCATTTTTTTCCCCACAGTCCAGTATAACGTTCCTGACTGTGGCTACCCAGATGCTTCTGGGAATTTCACAGGGCAACATTTGCAAGAGCATAAGTGTTTGCGTAAGTTCTCACATTACAGCATTTCTAATGGTAATAATTATATTCATTTTTGTGTTGCAGTTCCTAATGAGAGTGCTGTTCTCTCCAGAAAAAGAACTGGCTTCAAATCAGTATTTCAGGAACTTCTTACTTGGTTTAGAAGGAAACCTGGAAAACTTAAAATATCAATAAATTTAAATGAAAACAGAGAAAGCTTAACCTAATAACTGAAGAAGAAAGATGAGCCTTATCAAAGAGCGTAAGCCTAAAAAGCCTCATTATATTCCAAGGCCTCCAGGAAAACCATTTAAATACAAGTGTTTTCAATGCCCATTTACTTGCAATGAAAAATCACACCTTTTCAATCACATGAAGTATGGGCTCTGCAAAAACTCAATTACTTTAGTGTCTGAACAGGATCGCAATCAAAGCATTAAATGTTCAAAATCTAGTTCCTTGGAACCAAAGCAGATCAATCAGGCAGACCCTGCTGCCAAACCAACTTCCAGCAAAGCTCTCTTAAATCTGGACTCTAAGCCTCAATATGCTTTTGCCAAAGATGATGCCAAAGAAAACATGGACATTCAAAACCAAGCAACTGGTAAATCAGTAAATGGGCAAAAAACATTGATTCAGAAAGAATTAATTCCTGTTAGTAATGAAGCAGCAAGTACAACCAATGTGCAGCCCAGTCTTGAGGGCATTGTGAGACCCTCTGCTTTTGTGCCTGTAGGAGAGCATCGACACAGTAAAGACAGTAATATCTCTCAGCTGACATCTCTTTCTGATTCAAACAAAAGCTCTCCCTTCCACACAAAGTCAGCATTTCATGCTCCAAACCATGCATGGAAAGGTTCAAACCTTATCACATCAGATTTTACTCATAAAATTCCACCTGCAAAAGGTTTTGCTGCCATTCCATCTTATATGCAGCCTATTATTCCAGAGTATCCACCTTCATTGTATGAGCATGGATTGGCTATCTATGCACCTTACTTCCTTCCAGGTAACTCTCATGAGTGTGAAAGTTCAATCCTCTCTGTCTATGGCTCTCAAGATCAAAGACATTTTCTTCCTCACTCTGGACCCCTCCCTAAACCAATAAATCCAGCAACTTATGAACACTACAGATTATTTCAGCAGTATCATCCCAATCCCCCAGTACCATATGGATTTTGTAGGCCAACAGAATCATCATTTTACAAGCTTCCACATGTTGCAAATATCAATAGAGATCCAAGTTCTCATTTAATGGAGGAAACAACCTTGCTGTACCCAGTTTCTCCAAGCCCCACCAGGTTACATCTGTTGAATTCTCATAAAAAACCAACTGATTATGAAAAAGAAGTTCCTTTGCTGCAAACCAAAAGCCATTCCAAAGAAGACCAAAATGAACGAGAAAATGTCAAAATGAGCCCTCGTGCTGGAAGTGCAGCAACAGGGTCACCTGGAAGACCCAGTCCAACAAACTTCACTCAAACAAGCCAAGATTGTGAAGGACTGTTTGATCTTTCCAACAAGTCAGTTTCCATTAGTATTAGCAAGTATGATCAACCTCAACCAGAAGGAAGTTTCACAGCATTCAGACCTGTGAAGAAAAGTACTGACCAATCCACTCAGCCTTTGTCAGATGACAAGAGAGAAAACACACCCAGAAGGTAAAAAAAAAATCTTCTAGCCTATTTCCCCCTCAAATTCTATAAAGGATTAGGATACTTTGCATGGAAACTCTCAGGGTATAGTTCATTACATATCAAACTGGCAACAACCAGCATCAAGGAAAGTACGCAGGTTACCAGATTTAGAGAAATCAGGGCAAACAAAAAAGTAACTAGAAGTGAAGGGTGAAAATTAGCAGCTAATTGGAAATATACTTTGTAGGATGGTATTTGCATCTTTATTTTCAGATTTATAACATTATTTCATTTATAGCACGATATGCATGTTTACCTGAAAGTTCCATTAAGCTAAAACACAGATCACTCATAGACTGAGTGTGTCCAGGATTACAGTCACAGATAGGTAGATTCCAAGGGACATGGAGCCGTTAATTTTTTGTAAAATTGCTGTTAATCCGTTCTGCGATGGGAGGACAGGGAGAGTTATAAATTATATATATATATATTAGGAATGGGCATGAACCAGTCCATGAACCGGAATTCGGCCTGAACTTGGGCCAGTTTGGAGTTCGCAAACCCATGTTTGGGGAAGGTGCCTTCCCCGAACATTTACCAGACTTATGGCTGGTTCAGCTGTTCGGGGCCAGCTATTTAAACCTGACAGCTGAGCTGTATGGGATCTGCCGGTCAGCTGTTAGGTTTAAACAGCTGGCAGCCTTTTAACCCTTTGGTTAAAGGGGGAGCGAAACCAAAGGGTTAAATGGCTGCCAGCTATTTAAACCTAACAGCTGACCAGCAGACCCACCAAGCTGTTAGGTTTAAATGGCTGTGAACCATTAAACCCTCTGATTACACCCTCCCCTTCAAAGATGGGGGGAAGCAAAACTGACAGGTTAAATGGTTGTGAGCAGCTGTTCGATTTAAATAGCTGCGAGCCATTAAACCCTTCGGTTTTGCTCCCTCCTTCAAAACGGGGGGAAGCAAAACCCTTCCCATGCATTCCTCCCCTCTTTCTCCTGGCCCCAGTGAGCCATAGCTGTAAGAAAGGTGGAAGGGAAGTCCCTCCCAGGGTGGTCCCTGCCCCCTTTCTCCTGGCGGTGGCTCGCCAAAGATGGGAGAAAGAGGGAACCAAACTCATTGGAACAGCTCAGTTTCAGTGGGGCCCTTTCAGTTCAAGGTTCAGTAACCCTAACCCTAATATTTTTACTACTTTTATGTGTCAAAGAAACCATATAATGGGTCAGTCCAGGTCCATTTTTATATATAAACATGCTGATATCATTTTAATTTCTGATGTGCTGATTTTTAAAAGGTTATTTAATATAAAATGTTTTTTTTATCACAAGCACGATGAACATTTAAAAAACAGGCAGTGAATCGCCTGTGACTTATCAGGAATGAAACTTAAATCTGTCATGTATTCAAATCAAACTTTACTCATAGTAGCATATGTACCCTGTATGTGCATTAATGAATTTGCATACTTGTTCTACAAAACAACCCATAGCACTTTCTTCTGATAGTTTACGTCCAATCAAATCAGGCCATTGTGTAGGTTTTGCTGTAATACCATGTAACCTTGCAATCATGAAACTGAACAACACAACTATTATTGTGTTTAATTTCACAACTGAAAACTTTGTTTTTTCTTCTTTCTAGTGGTAACGTCAGTAGTGAAAATGAAAATCTAGAACATTCAAGTGATGGTAATGAGGATGCCCTGTCCAATTCTGATGACGACACAGGAATAGCACCACTTAATCTTTCTAAGAAGCCAGATGCAATCAGTGTTCAAGAGCATATGTTCAAAAGCAGTCTCCACATGGAAACCCAGAATTTTGAAGAACTGCAAGAAATGCCTCTAAATCTCTCTGTAAAAGACAGCTGTAACATAAAATCAGCACAACAGAACTCACTGTGTATAGTTGAAAACCAGGAACCTCTAAAAACGGAAAATGAAAGACTGGCCACTGAGGTGTGCAGCCTTAGAAATCACATGGACAAGGGTTCCTGCAATAATCCTCTCATTGTGATGCAAGGGAAAGAAGTTCAGGAAATCAGGACAATTGACAACTGTGATGAGCAGAAACAAACTGCAGCTGTCGCTCTCTGTCAGTTAGCTGCCTACAGTCCTAATAAAGTCCAAATTGAAAGTTCAGAAAAAAGTAATCATGAGAGCAATTCTCAATATACAGAAATTACTCCTGAATCTTCGACTACCCAGGACAATCACTGCAGTCAAAAAGCAAAAGGACAGAAAAGGACCAGTCAAAGAGAAGGAGCAAAACTGCAGCAAGGTGCAAAAAAAGTAAGAACAAATGACTGCAGTAGAGTGTTTACTCTGAGAAAAAGAAACAGAGTATCATAATATTTCACTTTCTAATACACTATTAAGCAGCTTCCAACTGCACTATAAGATCAGAACACCAGCTTTTCTGGCATTGATTGTTATTTTTCAATGTGGCTGATTTGTTTGATCAATCCAAAATATAACGTGCAATTATAAACTGTCCTTAATTTTGTATTTATATTGTAAAAAAATCCAGATATCCTGAGTATAACCTGGTTTTTCTGTTTGTACATTTAAATGTAAAACAAAGTTAATTTTGTGTCTTTTAAGTGCACTATGGTGGATGACTCGTATCTGCTTTTATAACCCAAAAATGTAACCTTTAGAAAAAATTATCTTATTCATGACATATTAGTATCATAATATGTCTGTGACTTATTCCAGACATGCCTCTTTTTATGAAGTTGTTATTCAGTAAGGTTGTTGATTCCTCTATTATTTAACTAAGTATGAAAATTTTATATGTTTTTCAACAGCTGTGCTCTGAAAGACAATATGCTTTGATACCTGGGATGGGGAGAACTTGTATGAATTCTGGCTAATATTCCCATTTGCATCAATTTTATATGAAGTCAAATGGTAGAAACATTCTGCAAATCTTCTTTATGACTTAAGCATGACTCTTTTTATTCAAAAGCAGCTAAGATGGACAAATATGAAACTGTTTTAACCCTACAATTTTAAACACTGTCGCAAGCTGAAAAGGTACTACAATAGTGTAATCGGTAGCACTGTATACAGCAGCAGTGGCAAAGCAATTTATCAGTTTAGCAAGACTTAGGACAAGAACTCAATAACCATTTACAGTGGTAGGATTCCACTGTTGACAATACAACACTGTCAATGAAGAGCCATCTAAATGTGGCTCAACTGTCTTTGTGCATTCTTCACAAAGGGATTATTTAAAGCACACTTTAACAAGTTTTATTTAAAGTCTTGGGGTTTGTATTTTCAAAGGAGTTCCAAATGTTGGAGACTGGGAACAACGCTCCCATACAAATGCTCTCTTGCTTGCTGGACAACATCTTTGGAATCAGGCACCTAGACCGTTATTTATTTTATTCCCTTTCAAGAAACAGAACTACTGGTGAAGATTTTATTGCTATTGTGGGCATCCATATGAATTTTAAAGCACTAAACAGTGGCATGCTACTTTTTTCCTTTGGCAAACTTGCTGAAAACAATTTTCATTTAGCAATAAATGCTTTGTCTTATACTTGCAAAATAGTCATTACAGTATAAATAAAAGTGTTTACATTGCTTTTGTCTTCCTATGTGTCTTGCAAAGAAAAATAAAATCAAAATCTGACTATAAAGACAAAACTTGTATACTTTTAAGAAACACCTGTTACATTCCACAGAAAGCTACAAGCTTGTGAATATTCTGCTAACACTGGGAAGGATACAACCAACTTTCCCACATAACACTGTCCAATTCCCCTCCTTACCACAGCCCATTTCATATAGTTTTTATCCATGCAGGTCCTATGATCCTTGGTGTAACCTTTTTTGTGTAGTCAAAGGGGACCTTCCACCTTTTTGAATCAACAAAAAAGCTGAATGGATCCACCCTATCAGCAATACTATTTAATTCTGCAGCATTAAGAGCACTTTAGAGCAAACAAGTAATCTGAACCTTACTCATGGGGCTTACAATGTCATCAAACACAGAGGATTAGTCAAATGTTGTCAGGTAGGTAGTGAAAGGCAGCATTTGAAGTGAAGCTAGAATAGCTTGATAAAAATTAGCTCATGAAGTAGTACTTTGAGAAATGTGGGGAGGGATGTTCTGAGCAAATGACTGCTACAAAAGAGATGCAAGAAAGTTTCTGGAGGAAGATGAAAGGTGATACAAGAAAGAGAAAGATGTAAACCTTGAAGAGGATGCTGAGATTTAAGAATGTGCAGGTACATACGATATAACTGAAACAACAGAAGATTTTAGAATTATTCTGGTTCATTAGAAAAGGAGAAAGGGGCAAGAGGTAAGGTGAACAAGCAAGTGGTAGACTATTTCATTGATTATCAGATCTCATCCAACTGTTTTAGTTCGATGTACACCAAAGAGAGCAGAATTAGCATAGTAGAGAACTAGTGTGCCATAATGGTTTCAAAACTAATCCTGGATATTTATCAAATTTTTAGGATTGCTGTCAATGAGATAATGAAGGATATGTGAAGGAAGTAGCAGCACATTTGGCAACCACTAGAATATGAAAGCAGAAAACTGCAGAGTCAAAGGGTATGGCAAGTTTGTGAGCCTAAAAAACTAGGGGAGTGTCTCCAACAGTAACAGCAAGTTATGGGATGTAAAGAGGTTTTGATAGAAAGATTAGAAATGCCAGGGCTATTTTTGGGCAGGAACGCACAGGAATGGAGTTCCGGCTGGCTCCTGAGTTGGCCACGCCAAGCAGGAAATCATTAGCATAATAGGCCACACCCAATAGCAGAAACTCATTAGGATTGGCTACATTAGGGGTGTGTGGCCTAACATGCAAAGGAGTTCCTGCTACAAAAAAACCCTCTGGGTTTTGACAACAAACAAGGTAAACAGAATAAAAAGGGAAAGGTGGGTGTGGCTGGATGACCACACTTCTGGTAACATGGGGGTGTGGCCTAATGTGCTAATGAGCAGTGCTGTCAGGGTGTGGCCTAATGTGCTAATGAGTTTTGCTGTTGGGTGTGGCCTATTATGCAAATAAGCTCCTGCTGGGCTTTTTCTAAAAAAAGAGCCCTGAGAAATGCTATGTTTGCATGTTACCCTGGATATATCCAGGGGGAAATGTCAGCAAGACATAAAAGTGAGCAAAAAGTTAAAATGTACATACAATTAACATGTGAGACATTCCCAAGAGCTGTCAGAAACATTTAAAGTCTTGCATGACTTCAGTCACTTCATCATTAAACATATTATTCTTTTTACATTATGAAACATTCATAGGACCTTGCCAAATTACAAGAAACTTACCTTCTGAGAGACGGGAGGGTAGTAACAACCCTCTTCTTCCTAATTCAGCCAAAGCCAAACATCCGCCATGCCAAGAATTGTCTGTTTCCTGGAAACTATAATTTTAGAAAACAGAAAGATTGTGTTCAAGCTGATGCTTCGTTTTTGATTTTCAACATATGTATTATCCATTATTGTCTGTCAACATGTTTGCTAAGGAAGTTTTATACTATGCTCAGCTGTGCAGCTGAGCACAGGATCAAGTTCAAGGATCTCAAAGTTTCTACAAGTGCCAGGAAGTGATCGGAAAACAGCTAGTAGAAATGACACAACCTCAGCCATACCCTGTACAACTGCTCCTTTCCCCCTCTTATTTTTCCAGGACAAATGGTTCTTAAAATACACTTGTTCGCTAATAGATGCAACAAGCATTACTCAAATCTGAAGTATCCATCTTAATCCACAAAGAAGCAGGCATGCACCACAGATTTAAGGACTGCAAGTAATCCAGAACCGGAACAGCAAGTTCAAGCTAAAGGAGTACTGGCAGACACAAAGAGATTACACAATACATGGTGATTCTACACATCAGTTGTAGTCTTTCAAAATACGACAATACAAAAATCTTAACATGTTGTTTGAATTAAAATGCCAACAGTGAATAAACAAACCCTGGAGTGCATCTGAAGTCTTAATTCTCTTATTTGAAAAAAGAACAAAGATAATAAGAAGTTTGTTTCATGATTTACACAATGATTTACACAAAACTCAAACTGAGAAGAAACAGGTGATCCACCAGCTGTAATATACAGATCAGTTCAGATCTGTAAAATTTTATTAATAGCATGTGTTGTTTGTAAAAAGTACTGGAACTATATAAAATACACTGTACCCAAGGAAGCCACCACCATTATTAGTGTCTTGCCCTTTGTCACTCTCATACCTTTCCCAGAATCATCCTCTCTACTATTGCTGCTATGTCTGTACTACAATGAAACATCGATTTCAAACCAGAAGTTTGAGGAAATGCAGAGAAACCTGATGCAACACCATTTCTCTTCTGCCCACCCAATAACTTACACAACACAAAGATGACTGTATGGATAGACTGAATTCATGAAGAATCAGCAAAAACAAGGACAAGTACGTGTTAACCAGCTGTACAGAAAAAGCAAGACTATGGTGGTCCAAGAATCAGATTTTGACCAACAATATGTGCTATATTGTTCCCAATAGCCACTGCAATCAACTTAACGTGTGATACAAACTAAAACAAATTACCTGAAGCACTCTAAAACAGATCCGACCACGTCATCAGCTAGCTCTTTTGGTAGCCTTCCAGTCAGCCTACCAATCCTGGAAAATGCAGAAAAAGTTCACAATTTAGATTCAACAATGCACAACAGTGTGACAACCTTAATATCTAGTGCAAAATCTATTAAGTACATTCTGGAGTTCTCTTGAAAACAGAATGTGCTGGCTACTGTATTCTTTCAATTCTAGCTCAGGAAACATGAGCACTTGCAATATATTTTAGAAAGAAAAAAGTAAAATTTAACAGGGGAATCAGTGCTAAATTAGGAGTGTTAATTACAGAGGAGTGAAAGAATTAAAACATTAGAAGTATTTCAGCACCAAATGCTAAATTCTGGAATAGTTCTTATCAATTCACTACTACCTTGTGCTATCACAGTAGGATTAAAGAATACGGGATCATTCCACTGGGACCATGTTCAGCTGTGTAAGTAACTCTTCTGCCAAATGAAGCTACTGGAAAGTAGATGATGTTCGTATCAAACACCATAGTTTGAGACACACAGGGGGGGAAAGTGTAAATACTGCTTGGAGACAAAAGCACTAATGTTCCACTATTCCAAACATAAAGGGAAAATGTTAATCTGTAACTGCAAGGTAATGTAGGCTAAACACTACTGGCTACTTGACTGTTTTCTGTGAGCCCCTCCTAGGTGAGCCCCTAACAGTGTGAGCAACAGTCAGTCCTCCCCACTTCTCCAGGGAAGAAAACAGATAAGCAAGCCATCTTTATTTCATCTTCCCCAGAAAGGTTACACTGTTGCTGTTTACCAGGTATGCTATTTGCACCTACAAAAAGTTCAGCACAGGATCTACTTATCAAAGAGTGACCCAGTTTGCCAAGCTATATGCAGAGCTTCTCACAAGTAGTTCTGCTGGCTGGGAGGAATCCTACTCAAAACAGGATATAGGTAGCAAGTAGAGGTGTGAGGGGGAAAAAAATGGATCTTTTTGCATTCAGGTCCATTGGACCTGGAAAATATCAGGATTTCCTGATATTTCCATATCCCAATATCGGTATGATATTGTGATTTGCGTAAATAATCAGGAAACCTGAAATCATTGGGCATTTTAAAAATGCCTTCCCTTCTCTTGCGGAGTAGCACCACCACTGCAGCACACCTCCATCAGTGAAGGAAAGATAAATGCCTTCTTTCCTACACTTACGGAGGCATGCTGCTGAGGCGAAGCAACTCTAGGATTAAACTCTAGGATGTTGAGGCGACACAACTCCACTTGTGGAGGGATGTCACCCAGGTGGCGCAACTCCAGGAGTGAAGGGAAGGCATTTAAAAAATACAAAATACCACACATAGCTCAGAAGAAATTCAGATCTAGATTGCTGAAATTCAGATCTAGATTGCTGAAAGTCAGATCTAGACTGCTGAAAGTCACGGAAATTGCTAAAGGAAATGAAAGATCAATTTAATTCAACAGAAACAGAGATTCTAGGGAGTATGCTGCAGTTAGACAGGAGATGGAAATTTTATGGTAGTCTTATGGAGCAGTGCGACAATGTTTCTTGGCACTAATGCGTGTGGAAAAGAAAGAAGGGCAAAGTTTAAAAAATCAATATATAAAATAATACGGATGGGCATGAACTGACTCACAAGCCAAAATTCAGCATGAACTTGGGCCCATTCAGAGTCCCCAAACAAATGTTTGGGGAAGGCGCTTCCCCTGAATATTTATTGGATTTTCATCTGGTTCAGCTGTTTGGGCCATTTAAACCTAACAGCTGAGCAGCATGGGTCCATAGCTGACCTATTTATTTATATAATGGCTGTGAGCAATTTCAGCCTAAGAGATGATGGGCACACCCACCCCGCTATTAGGCTGCAAGCCATTTCACTGGTTAGTTTCACTTCCCCCTGCTTCAAAGAGGGGGCAAGCGAAACAGAACGGTGAAATGGCTACCAGCCTTTTCAGCCTAACAGCTGACGTGCGCGCACACACACACCCCTGTTAGGTTGAAATGTCTGCCAAGTTGGGGAAAGCAAAACCAACAGGTTTAATGGCTGGCAGCCATTTAAGCCTA